TCATACCAGACTGAAACGACAAGAAATAGCTCGTTTCCGACTACTTCAACACTTACTAGACAAACGCTCTAGCCTTCCAATTAATTATAAAAGACTAATTTACATGACTATAATAAGGCCTATTTGGTATATTACCTAGTTTTACACCAAGTTGAAGTGGCTTTATCCATCCAACCGCCGTCAGTATTTCCTTGCTACCTTCCTACACCAGGCTATTAGAACTCAGCGACCTGCCTATATTCTACAGGTACTACAATTCAAACGCTCCTTTCAACCACGTCCCACCAGATCCCGTGCGTCCGACCTCTATCCTCCTCCTCACCGAACTGCTGCGTTTGATAAATCCTTTTTAATTCAAGTTGTCTCCCTCTGGAACTCTATCCCTTCAGATATTCGTCACGCAAAATCAATATCCTCTTTCAAATCTTTCCTCTTCAAACACCTACTCCATTCCCAATCCGATTCATCACGAAATGCACTTCATGCCAGATTGAAACGACAACGAACCATTCGACGTTTCCGATTACTACAGCACTTACTAGACAAACGCTCTAACCTTCCAATTAATTATAAAAGACTAATTTACATGACTATAATAAGGCCTATTTGGACTTAGGGAGTTGAGCTATGGGGCTCCACCAAACCTTCAAATTCCTCTCGTATCCATTCCAAAATCCTTCGTAAAATCCTCAATGCTCCTTACTTTGTTACAAATAAAATCATCCATAATGACCTTAATGTTCCTTATGTATCAGATTTGGCCCAATCCAGATATCTGTCCTTCCATAATAAACTTCATAACCATCCCAACCCTCTTGTTTCTAACCTTGCTTCCTCTTCAATTCCTGATAATCCTCCGAGGCGTCTGAAAAGAAGATGGCCACGTGATCTCCTAATATAGACATATTATTAGAGTGCTCCCAATGGGTAGTTTCTCAACATGTGTTTCGTGTCATTATATCCATGTGCGAATTTACCAGATGTATTTTTTGTATACAGTTGTAAATATCATATAAATAAATTTAAAAAAAAATGTTTATATTTAGTTAAGAAATTTCATTTTATATCATTGGAAAAATGTAATTTCTTTTAAATAATAATAGCTGATGTACCCGTTGTTGTCGGGTGTATAGTTAAAATTTGAGAATCTTTTTTTTTTTTAGATGCATTTCGTATTATGGGGGAGGGTCCAAATTCAATTTCATAAAATTTAGTCGGAAGAGGGTAGGAGGGTTTTTTTTAATTTTTTTATGGCGGGGCTTATGGAAGTCAAGGTTTAGCAATAGTCATAACAAAAGATTTGTTATTCGAATATTTGTTTACGTACCACACAACTAAACCGACCACCACATATCCATTAAAATTTGTTAGGTGTTTAATTTGTATTTATGATGAAGCGAGGACGTTAATCATTTTTATTTATATAGATGTTCTTTAACTTATAAACATATGTTTATTATTAACATTAATTATCAACATTAACCGAGCTATCTAGACAAATTACTCACTTTATTTTATTTATATAGATTAGTTTTCAGAAATTATTATTTATAATTTGTTGTCACTCTCTATTACCTTCTACGACTTTCTAAATTTGCTTTCTACTTGGTAAGATAATTTGACTACAAAATCGAGAAAAAAAGGGGGCCTTCAAAAATATTGAGCCGTTTGGCGTGACCTACACCCCTAAATTTTCAACATAACGAGGTTTTATAGGACCTTTTTTTATCGATTTTTTGATCAAGTTATTTTACAATCGAAGTAGAAAGCAAATGGGTATTTACGAGTTTTTAGTACCTAATTAAATAGACAAAGTTTGCCCCCCTCCAGATTGAAAACGACACAATATCAAGAGTTAAATAAAATAGTTGTAGGTTACGATGCGATGAAACTATTTACGAAGTTTCGATAAAAAGAGGTCTGTACCACGGACTATGATGTCAAGGACTTTCATTTTTAGATTTTTTTCCGCCTCTGAACCACTGTGCGTTGGTATATTGTAAAAATTCATTTAATGGATTTGTGATTAAGGTTAACTTTTAATATGTTTGTGTATAATTTATGGATTTTATTTATCCATACAAAACCACCGTAAGTAAATGAAAATGAAAAGAAATCATATTTGAAATATAATTACAAGTCCACAATTTTGTGATTCCATAAAGGGAAAATCCTTCGATGTTCTCAATTATTTAAGATTATCAAATGTCACTTAATGGCGCGGCAAGGAACCATTAAGTATACAACGTACAGTGAAGAAAACATCTATGAGAAATAATATATCATCTGGATAATTTAAAAATTATTTTATAATATAAAAATTTATAACCTTAGCTATGTACTGACAAAGCCATAGCAATCGTTTAGCCACTCCCTGACCAGATAAGAAAATGTTGCTTGTATGCAAAGACAAAAAAAAGAAGGTAAGTTTTAAAAATGAATATTTCTATAACATACAGAAAAAAAAAAAAAAATTGAAAAACATGATAGTAAAAGAAAACAGAAGATAATTCGTTTAGTAACAGACGGTTAAAATGTAATGTTTTATTGAGGAAGCATTGGCCACTTAATGCACTGCCCGCGTTTACACATTTCACAAACCAAGAAACTCACTCTGAAGTAGTATTTGTGTTTCTCTGTTTATGGCTAGATGTGGGCGTCTACTTTTGAAAAACATAAATGAACTGTTCGTTGACCAAAAACTGTTGAAAAAAAAAAAGTTCATAGAACAGCAAAACGATTCATGGAGTAATACCTAATCGTTTAATAACAAGTCTGGAAATGAATGAATCGTTTTATGTATAAAGTTTTGCATTGTTCGAGTCTGAAATTTATTTGTAATATTACATGAATGTTTAATCTTAAAAATTTCGATACTAGTTCACAAGAGTTCCGCACGGATTACGCGTGGTTCACAATCACTTCGATCACACTTGTTCATGGAATCCCGAATGCCTTCGGGTTTATCCGACAGAGAACGAAGGCGACCGATCTCTTGAATTAGTTACGATTAACTTTCCCACCATTTAAGTACTTCTATAACCTTAACCATGTTCAGTTATATTAACGTTATTTAAGGTATTGACTTAAATTCGAAATTTATACTACACATTATGAAACCTGAATCGAACATGCACATATATTATATATATGTGAAAAAGGAATATTAATAGATAAAAACATTTAATTATTACATCTCTGAATGCTATTTCACGACATTATTTTTCTTATTGATGATTTCCATTATTCATTATCTCGGAATTATCAGATATTCTTCTTCAGTTCTTTTCTCAATACGTTAATTCCTTTCTCGAAAATAAACACGATTTTTTTATTTTATGAATGACTACAATAATCGCCATTCGGATTATTTATTATCCAAATGATAAAAAACTCTTTTATACAATTTATAATAGATAATATATAACAGTATATGCTTATTTATAGCCACTACATATAAGCACGGGTCAATAAAAATTTTATTTCTAAAAGCATTTTTTTTTTAAAGGCCTTGAAGAAAGACTCAAACATTATTTTATATATGTTTTCTTTTTCTTTCACAGTAATGACCGTTATAATGCAAATTAATAATTAACTAATTAAGTAAATACACAATTTGTTAATACATTTTTAATAAGGAAGTTCCACGAAGGGAATACGTTTTTTTTCTTTCAAAAATGCATTAAGAGGGACAATAGCTGACGTCATAAAAGACGACAACATTCGGCTGTTTTCGGGATTCCATGAACAAGTGTGATCGAAGTGATTGTGAACCACGCGTAATCCGTGCGGAACTCTTGTGAACTAGTACTAAAATTTCTTTTAAATAATTAAAACTAAAAATTATTTTTTACACATAGAAATATTTTTATTTTAATAATATTTTGACTTTCTTGTATGTTCGAAGTTTGAAATTATGCTGCTTAGCCATCATGCGTCTTTTAACTGTAGTTCTAACAATGCTTCAATTGTTTGCATTTTTCAATTTGTATAGAACATAATAGTGTGTAATTTTATTTACGCAATTAAATTGATTTATGTGAATATGAAAAATCTCGACTAGTGGCAAACGGGTGAACTAAAGAAAAACAACTTTTGTTATCCGTTTAGAAGAATAGTTCATTCGTTTGAGATCAAGAACTGTTTTTTTTCAAACGTTTAGCGTTTTTCCTAGCACCCCTATTTATGGCCGATCCATCTGCTTTCTGTTTTTAAGAGAAATCAAAGGAAATTTGGGTTTATGTTCGTGTCCATTTTACACATTTGTTTATTGTTTGCGTTGCTTAAGAGATGTTGAATTTAATTTGTGATGTGATTTAAAATTATTTTTTAATATCTAATATCTTCTTTATGAATTTCACGCCTTCTTTCATTTTTTTTATTTGAAAACTTCTTTAAGGGAGTTTTGCACTTTTTTTGTAGAGAGTAAATTAGATTGAGCCGTCAGATCTCTGATGTGTAACGCACGGGTAAAGTGGTTTTTCATATGGATTAAAATATCTCAAAACTAAAAATCAGACCTACATATTGTTGGAGAATTAAATGTTCAGCATTTTGTATCTACGAACAAAAATATCGAAAACCAAATGATAACGAGTTTTTTTGAAGATATGGATTAAAATATCTCAGACACTAAAAACTTACTGTAAGCAAGAGAAATGCCAATCATTACATCCTCTTTTTAATGGGCTATTATTTATAATTTATATTTCATACTATTAATGTTTCCTTGTTGATGTTTTAACTTCTAACGGTGGTCTAAAGCACATTAATTAGTTTCTTATTTTTTATTAGCGACACATTATATTTCCGTTGTTTTTGAAATGTGTAAAACCATGTTTACACATTGCTCAAATCATGACGAATACAAAGTTTAAAAATCTGGTGCGATGCGCGCATCACACAATTTTATTTACCACCCTTATAGCAGAAATAAATTTTCCGAAAAAGGGGAAATGAAGGTAAAAATTATAAACCCTATATTGGTTTATATTGCATTATGTGTATTATTATCTGTTTATTTATCCTTATATATACAAAATTTATTTTTATTATGTATGTCAACATAATATTGTCGGAGGCCGTATTATAATAAGTTCATATCACGTACGGAAAAATGTACTAATCTTTCGAGCGCCCTCGTACCCCTTTGGTTCCTTAGTTAATTATCAAATTCTTTCATATTTTATATTCAACCATTTTTTATATCAGAAATCAATGTGAAATGGTTAATTGTTTCCAATAACAAAAAAAATAAAGGTCCTTTAGAGGAAGCTAATATTGAAAATTAGCCATTTAAGCCCAGTTAGAAAAAAACAATGAGATTCAAACCTACATATTAAAAACTGCTTAATTTTACACTGAAATAATGAGTTTAATCAAAATTGTTAAAGCCCTTTTCGAGAAAATCGTAAAAATGTGTTTAGTTCATTATATAAAGTGCCGTATTTTGTACTCGTATATTCTGGTAAGCCGATTTTTACGAAAAACGTGCTGTAACATCCCAAGCATATAAAAACATTAATTATGCAATTTCATATTCGTACGACATTTTGTTCTGTTAACATACACACGCAGACATATATTTCCGTTGAAAATTGAGATTAGAAAACTTTAACGATCGCAATACTTTCCTTTGATATATATTAGATATATTTACTTACTTTTTTTATTATGAAAGGATAAGTATCTGGATTGGGATAGATCTGAAACATAAGGTCATTATGGATGGTTTTATTTGTAACAAAGTAGGGAGCATTGAGGATTTTACGAAGGATTTTGGATTGTAAGGATTGGATACGAGAGGAATTCAATGGCTTAGTGGAGCCCCATAGCTCAATTCCGTAAGTCCAAATAGGTTTTATTGTAGTCATGTATATGAATCTTTTGTAATTAATTGGAGCGTTAGTCTAGTAAGTACTGTAGTAATCGGAAACGGCGAGTGGTTTCTTGTCGTTTTAGTCTGGTATGAAGTGCATTTCGTGATCAATCGGATTGGGAATGGAGTAGGTGTTCGAAGAGGAGAGATTTGAAAGAGGATATCGATTTTGGGTGTCGAATATCTGAGGGTATAGAGTTCCAGAGGGAGGCAACTTGAATTAAAAAGAATTTATCAAACGCAGCAGTTCGGTAAGAAGGAGGATAGAGATCGGACGCACGGGATCTGGTGGGATGGGATTGAAAGGAGCGTTTGAATTGAAGTACCTGTAGAATATAGGCAGGTCGCTGAGTTCTAATGGCCTGATGTAGAAAGTTAGCAAGGAAATACTGACGGCGGTTGATGGATAAAACCACTTCAACTTGGTGTAAAACTGGGTAATATCCCTTGAGATCTCGAAGATAAAGCTTATTGTGCAATTCATTTAAGTTTAGCTTCGAGTTCTCCAGAGAGTTTACCATAAACCATGCATCCATAGTCGAAGTGGGAGAAAACAAGAGAGGAGACCAGGAGTTGACGGGTTTTGAACGGAAGAAGATAATGTAGATGGTTAAACTGTTTCAGGGTGGATACGGCGGGAAATTTGGGAAATGTGTAGTTTCCAGGAGAGGGTTTGATCGAGGGTAACGCCTACGTTTTTAACGGTGGTATGGAAGGAGATAGGTGAGTTGTCCAGGAGAAGATTAGGAGGTGTTGAAATGGATTTGAGGAGTGAAGAGGGTCCGATCAGGATGGCTTTTGTCTTCTCTGTATTTAATGTCAGCTTTTTAAGATTTGCCCATGAGGATATTCTATTGATGTCTTGTTGCAGTTTCAGGATGGCATTAGAGGAATCCGCCGGGTTGAAGGAAAGACAAATTTGGATATCGTCGGCATGTAGGTGATAGTGACAGTTAAATAAAGTTAAATAAAATAAAAGTAAACGAAATAAATAGAAAAACCTTCATACTTAATTACAATATTTACAATCAGGCAAGAGATGAAGGACAAAGCTAGACTCTAAGAGATCCCAGCGCTTCTCTCTCAACCTCGTCGCCGGCATTACCAGTCCGGTGGAGACTGTGAGAGGGCACTAAAACCACAAACACTCATGACTTGAGTGGAGAAACTGGCCATTGCCAGAACTCCAGTGACGTCTTTACAAGAGATCTCGAGGCCACTGCCGTTTCAACCTTCGAGGAGGATTGTAGGGATGACTGGAGCTAGATAAGGATTGTGCTAAGGGGTTAGGATGGTGGATTAGGTTCAGGTGAAAATTTGAGAATCGGGATGGAATAACTTGAAGGACATAAGGGATGTAAAGGTCATGATGTAGGGTTTTGTTTGTAACGTAATAAGGAGCATTGACTATTATACGGAGGACTTTAGACTGGAAGGATTGGATGCTTTTTGGATGTTCGAAAAATAGTTAACAACGATCCATCAATTGCATCCCAAATTCTCCAATCACACATCACAATTCTTGATGAATGGTGTCAAAACTGG